ATTCATGGATAAACTAAAATTATGAATTAAAATCCTCACTCAATTAAGACTTTGTCTACATTTATGCCTATTGGGTTAGTCACAGTACAAAATGAGTAGAGAACCTACATTAAGTGCCATTAAGATGGTTCGGACTCATAGAAACCCTGCATAGGGCTTCCAGGCAGGCGCTGGTGGGCTTGAACCACCAACCTTGCAGTTAGTCCAATGCTTATCCTACAGCACCACCCAAGGGCCTTCATGGGCCCTTTTAAATTCTGAAATCTTTAATTCCACAGTGAGTGTAGTAGAAGCAAAATAATTTTTCCCACTAGAATATAAATATGTCTTCTTTACTTAGACTACTAAGATCCTTTTGTTCCTTGCACATATTGAAAGCTTTCTAGGTTTCAAATGTATTGATACTACTGTTGTGTTTTATGTTTCAGAAGATTGGGAGATAGAAGCAGCTCTCCTTATCAGTCTGTAATGAAATTTGATTCCTATTGCATTTCTTTGGGAAGGATCAGAACAATGCTGGTTCCTGAGGTGGAGGTTAAACATGTCTCAAATGTCCAACTTTTCCAAACTGCTGTAGCACTTCCATCCTGCAACTACTCCTTCTCTCTGCAATACTCTCCCTCCTGGGTTTGGGTTCCGTGACTCACAGCAAGGTCTCAGAGAACTCACGAACCATCAGGGTTGTGGAGGCAGGTAAGTATCATGCTTCAATTTAAAGGCCTTTCCCGACTCACATGGTTGCAGGAGGCGATGAACCCAAACTGACAGGTCAGACAACAGGCCACTGACACACAAGGTTAAGGAAACTGACAAATCATTCTAGACAATAGACAACTGGCTCAAGTGCCAAGAGTGAAGGTCAGACAATGACGTGCAAGATGTCTGAACCTTCTATATTTAAGATGCAGATCATACCATCAAGGAAACTAAGGGTGGCTGACTTGAGTCATACCCTTTAGTAAGAGGAATTAAGATACATTCCATCCTAAGCCTGCTTCATTAATTTAACATTCACTTCAAATGGAATCATAACCACAGACCTACAAGCTTTCCAAAGTTGTAATTTTTACTGAAGCAGACTGCCACACCTTTCTCCCAGAGATCAGCTGGTAGCTTAAAACCACTTACCTTTCAATTAGCAGTGGAGCCACCACGGTGTCTTCAAGGCTCCTTGTTGTCAGGTGCCTCAGAGTTGGTTCTAACTCATAGCAACCCCATGAAACACTGCCTGGTCGTGCCCCATCCTTACAATCGTTACTGTTTGAGCCCATTGTTACAGTCACTCTATCAATCCAGGTCACTGAGGGTCTTCCTCTTTTTCACTATCAAGCATGATGTCATTCTCCAAGGGTTGGTCCATCCTAAGTAATATGTCCAAAGTGTATATGAAGTGATGTCTCCTCATCCTCACTATAAGGAACATTCTGGCAGTACTTCCAATGCATATTTGTTTGTTCTTCTAGCAATCTGTTGTATATTCAATATTCTTCCTCCACATCTTAATTCAATGACATCGAATCTTCTTTGAGCTTCTTTATTCATTGTCCAGCTTTCACATGCATGAAGTGACTGAAATAACATAGCTTGGGTCAGTTGCAAAGTCCTCAAAGTGACATCTTTGCTTTAAAGACTTCTGTGGCAGATTTGCTAAATGCAACATTGCTTGGTTCCTTGATATCTGCTTCCACGGGTGTTGACTGAATTCAAGTAAAGTGAAATCCTTGACAACTTCAATAATTTGTTTATTATATGATGCTGCTTACTGGTCCAGCAGTGAGAATTTTTATTTATTAAAGGTGTACTTCATACTGAAGGCTATAGTCTTTGATGAGTACGTGCTTCAAGTCTCATTCACTTTCAGCAAGTTGTCACCTGTACAGAGCATGTTCTTGGTCATCTTCTTCATATAGTTTCATTTATCAAACTACCCATTCAGAACACAAAGTAAATACCTTTGAATGGTAAAAGGACACCACCCTGATGCATACCTTTGTGTGTGTGTGGGGGGAGGGGGGGTTTGTTCCAAATCCTCAATTTTATTCATTTAATTTTCCCAAGTCTAAATCCTTGAGGGCTACAGCATCATGCAGATTCTGTGTTCAATGGACTCAGCAGGAAGGTTGCTTTGGAATTTGGCATGAACCATGCTACAGTTTCCCAGATGACTCTGGTTTTGTTAGGTTTGCTGCCAGGAGTCACTGTATTGTTCTGTGCTTTGTACATATAAGCACATCTCTTGCCTAAATAGAATTCAGTTTCATCTCAAACATACACACCTTCAATTTTAAGAAGAGCGGTACACTCCCTTTGGTTCCCGACACCGTTTTTAACAGCAAAAATGGTCTTTGGATCACAGCCTTCCACACATAGCTGCCAGCTCTGATGTACTGTTCCCAGTAGGCCTCCACAGGCTCCAAGATGGTGGAAAGAACCCTTTCTTGATTTTAAACCATGCAGTCTATCACCTTGATCTATGTACAAGTTCCACATGAGCACTATTAAGTGTTCTGGAATTCCCATTCTTCATAATGTTATCTAAAATGTATGAAGATATATAGTTGAATGCCTCTGCATAGTCAATAAGAATAGGTAAACATCTTTCTAGCATTATCTGCTTTCGGCCAACATCCATCTGGCACCAGCAATGGTATCTCTTGTTTCACATCCTTCCAAATCCAGCTTGAATTTTTGGCAGTACCCTGGCAGAACTCTTTGCTATCAAGCTGGTATAGTGTTTCTCAGGCTACAAATCTTCACGGGAACAGAAAACTTCCTTTTTCTCCATGAAGTAGCTAGTGCATTCTAACTACCTACCTTGTAGCTAGCAGCCCAATGTGCAACCCACTACACTACCAGGGCTCCTGCCTAAATACCTCAGTAGAAAAAAATGAGCAAAGCATTTGTTGTTGTTAAGTGCCATCAATTCAGTTCCAACTCATAACAACTCTGTCTAGGGTTTCTGAGGGGCTGGTGAGTTGGAACCGTTGACCTTGCGGTCCAGTGCTTATCCTACATCACATCAGGACTCTGAGCATTGCAGACACAGTACTTGAAACAAATAAACACCATGAATTTAAATAGCTGTTTGTTAAATGTTCTATAAACTACTAGTTAACAACAGAAGGCTTATCATCAGTGAGTAGCTTTCTTCTCCTCTTACAATCCAATTCACTGGCATTCTGAGCACCATGTAGTCTTGAAACCTTTTAGGAAAAAGAAAATTTACTATATATATCATCCCCTCAAGCCTGTCTTTAATGGCTTTGCCAAATCTGAAAATTACCTGGTGAACACAGCTCTTGGAAGGTTGTTTTAAAATAAATCTTGTTTCATACCTTGGCTTACAGGATAGAAGGAGCTATTTTCAGCATTCAAAAATCACTAGACACAAATTTACATGTTTAAGACCATTACCTGTGAATGCTTTCTTTTTTAAACTACAGGTAACTCAGCATATGGACATGCAAAGCAGATTGCAAGTTCAATGTGAGGTGACACAATTCTATTATCAGTATTTTCTGTCTTTATAGGGAAATATATATATATATAAACTGCAAACAGAAAGATACACAAATGTCCTTTACATTTTTATTTTAAAAAGGGAAATATAACTTCCTATACCTGCTATCTATAAATCTGATTTCTCAGTTATGGGAAATCATTCTCTTCAGTATACTTCATAAATGTGACACCATTTAACATTAGGATTGCTAAAGGATTGCTCAATATCTCAAACTTAGCACCTTCATTAATTGAGAAAGTATTTGTTTAAATAGCCTTGCACCAGTACGACAATTCTATTTGTGATTGTGCCCACCATGTGAAAACTGTAAACAATATCCACTTCTCTCAACATCATTTTTTGAGCAGAATTTCTAGATGGGATGTGTTACTGAGAATTTCACATTTCACTCATGTATTTGTCATATTAATAGAGCTCTGGTAGCGTAGTGGTTGCGTATCGGGCTGCGAACCTTAAGGTCAGCAATTCAAAACTACCAGCTGTTCCATGGGACAAAGATGAGGCTTTCTGCTCCTGTAAAGATTTACAGCCTTGGAAATCCTGTGCAGGGTCGCTATGAGTCGGAACCTACTCCATGACACATATCCAGCAGTACCACTGAGTTGCTTCCAATTCACAGCAACATGATAGGACAGAGTACAATTGCCTCATAGGGCTTCTGAGACTGTAAATCTTTATCAAAGGAGATATACTCATCTTTTTCTGCAGAACAGCTAATCGGTTTGAACTACAGGTCTTGCAGTTAGCAGTTCAACCTTCTTCAACTGTGCCACAGATGCATAGACACATGAGAAAGCATCTCTGATCACTGTTCATATACCAATTTCTACACTGGTAATTAAAAAAAAAAAAAAAAAAAGAGTCATAAACATGTAATTTTAAAGTTTACTTTAAAATTATAAATATCTCCCAATATTCAACAAGTAAAGAAAATAGCATATTGGTTTACTTTATGTGGTTGTTATACTTTATTTTCCAAGTAATACTGATTAAAAATATTTACACACCTACTTTTAAGTCCACAGTTTAGCACTCTTATTTGTATGGCTTTAAAAGTTATATCACAAGATCTTTACATTAAGGATCAGGGGGAAAGATTCCATTCAAAACAAAGCCTGATATAATATATACATGTTTTGCTGTACTTTATTTTAAATACATTAATTTTTTAAATGATGCTAATCTTTTTTTCATCTGGTGGTAAAATACTAGTGCAAACGTTTCAGCAAAATAAAGTTTACCACAGATGTAAATGAATTTTCCCAATTGAAAATGGCCATTCAGCTGCCATCAAATGCAATTTCTCAACCAAACTTAAATGGAAAAACAAACATTGGTGGTTGACACTTACAAGCAAAAATATAAAACCCTAGACATTGCTCCTTACCACATAAACTTTGAAAGAACCAGAGATGCTTTATAGAAGCTAAGTTGGTTTTGAAAAGGCACATGGGTGTGGTTTTTGTTGTTTTGTTTTACATTCTAGAAATTTTGCCACCCCCACTCTGTTCCTGTTGCAGAGATGGCATCTGTGACTATTGGGGGAGACAAAAATGGTATTCAAACTAAAGGAAGCCAGAAGCCAAAATTTAACTGCACAGTAACAATGCACTTTTCTTCATGCAGCCTTGTATTTTCTATATATTCAATTTTCTAACATGCATTAGAATACATAACCATGTATTCTAATGGTTTTACAGGTGATTTTACAATAGGGAAAACAATTTGAGGAAGAACATGACCTGGGAAGAGAAGGGAAAACCCTTACCACAATGAAAATAGATACATTCGTACCCAACTATATAATAAGAATATAACCCATTTAAATTTTCAGAAATATACTCAAAGTTTCCCATTCATTTATGGGAAAGTTCTCTCCTCTGTAACATTTAGTGGGGAGAAACCAGTGTGGTTCAATAGAAACAGTCAGCACAACAAGAAATAGTTAACTTTGGTCCACTTGTCTATCAACAAGGACAGTCACACTGCCCATAATCAGTTGAAAAACCCAACATGTAAATTAAAAAATATATTCATTTTGTTATTTCATTCTAAAACTGGCATAGTTGTTCTGTCCTCCTCATCCCCTGTCTTTTCAGCTTGGGAATACACTGTTGGTTTGGTCTTTAAACTCTCAGGATCTTCCTGATCGTCCCTGGCATCCTCAGTGGTATCTGCTTGGTGAGGCCTTCTCTCCTCCTGATTCATGATCTCAGGGGTCACTTGATCTAAGTGTGCTTCTAGAAGCTCGGTTTGTACTTCCATTGGCATCTGATTTACCCGTTCAACATGCAGCTCCTCCACATGTACTTCTGTTCCTTCTTCAGTCTGAATTCGACCCACTTCTAGATAACTCACCTGGACCTGCTCTGGAAGCTCATTCATTTGTGAATCGGGCACTTGGCTGTCCTGGAGCAGATCTGGATGAACCTGTTCCACAGTCACTTGGGCTGAATCCACCTGGACTTGAAGTAATGGTAGCACATGTACCTTCCCAACTTGTTCTATAATCGCCATTGATGTTACAGGTTCAGTTTGCACACGTGTTTCTACTGAAAGAACTTCTTCGGTTACTAGACACTCTGAAATATTATGAGTATCACTAAGATGTCTCCTTAATTCATTTCCTTGCATAAACCACAAATCACATAGAGTACAATGGTTGGGTTTATCTCCAGTATGAATTACTAAGTGATCTTTGAACTGGTCCCAGCTGTTAAACACACTGTTACAGACCTGAAATAATCAAACACATGGTATTAACAATACTTACATGAAACTGAATGAACTATTGATGCATTTATTTTCTGTAAGGAAAAAGTTGAAGATTTATTCTGAAAATGTTATAAACAGATCATTTGTAAATATCTAGTCCAAGCTATTTCTTAATTCTTCCGTTTATCTGGTATTTTAGCTAATATAGGTAACATTATTCTCAATCATGCTTTGGGAAACATTTTAATATTACCTTAATTGATTTAATCATATAAATCCTGAGACTATAAAGTAGCAGTATTGTAATTTCCGATGAGATCAACATTTTGAACATTTCGTTGCATTGCATTATTTGGAATAAATACACATTAATCATGGAAGAAGATCCAATTACAGCTAATTTACCGGCTCTCCTTCTTCCTCCTATCCTTGAGAATTCTAATAACTACTCTATGGTTATTCAACTATAGTTTCAAACTGTTATCTGAAACAATTTTTGTTGCCACTGGTGTTATTTAGAATTCAGTAAATAAAAACTATTCTTATTCCCTTTCATAAATTCAAGATAATTACATTCATTATTTCCACTTTGTTCCAACCCATACTCTATACTTTTGATTTAGACTCTGTCATCCTTTACTTTTTAAAATCTTATTATGGTAAACTAGATGTAACAAAACATCTTCAAAAAAAAAAAAACAAAAAAACTGCCATTTTAATCTTTTAGGAGTATGATTCAGCCACATTAATTATATCCGTCATGTTGTGCAACCACCACTATTTCCTCTTTTTTTTCATCATCCTTTATAGAAGCTATATTGACAATACCTATCCATTCCCCCTTCTTCCCCTGTTGTTGTTAAACTGCTGTTGAGTAGGTCCCAACTCATAGCGACTCTGTACAGGATTTCCAAAGAGTGGTTGATAAGTTTGAACCACTGACCTTGTGGTTCAGATAACCTTGTGGTCCAGTGCTTTATCCCACAGCACCACACCAGAACTAGGACCCACACCTAGTAGGTGCGATTTGCTGTTATCCTTCACATTTGAGTATTTCAGGAACGACTCCATTGTTAGTAGACAGAATACGCACAAAACACATACCTGACATTCATATAGCTTCTTTCTTCCCTTTTTTGCCCCCACTCCAGTTTGGCATGCTGTCAGGTGACATTTGAGTGTGCTATTTCTTGCAAATCGTTCATGACAATTTGGACACTCAAAAGGTTTTTCACCTGTTAGGAGAGAAATACAAATACACATAGTTAAATTAAGAAAATCAACAAAATTTTAAAGAGTTTTTCTTAAAAATTAACCCCCTTGTTAACTTTCACAGCACATTCTTGAAAAAAAGGATCAGAGTATCTAATTTGGATGTTTTTATCATGTCTAGAGGTACAAATAATTTAATAAGTCTTGAAAAATTACTACAATTTTATTTGTCATCTTATAAAGAAATAAATTTTAATCTGAGTTCTTTTCCATGTATTTCTTAAATATTTTATTATAGATAAAAATCAAGACAAATTACATTTCAGGAAAATGTTAAATAACACTGTCCATTTTGCAGCATTATTTGAGCCCTTACTATGATGTGTGCCAGAGTTTCTGATGGACAAGAGATGAAAAGATAAATAAACTGCCCTTGATTTCAAAGGTTTCCTATAACATGCCAGGGTGTGAATGTGAAATATGTGAAAATAAACAAACTGTAATGAAGTGTCGGTAGAGGCACAACGGAACACATACTGCAGCAGTACAAGGAAACTGGAGGGTGGGGAGGTGGGGACATTTGCTTCTGCCTCCAATGACACAAGGATGGAAGGTAGCTCATTCTAAGCAGGGGCACAAGGAGTAAAACAGCATGGAAGGTGGGGAATAAGGAAGACTTACTACTGACTTCCAGATAGCTAGCTTAGACTGTCAACCAGGATAAAGAACACAAGAGTCCTTACAAGTTTGGAGCAGACTGGGAAGAAAAGTGTCAATTATGTGCAGTGTCTACTGTGGTCAAAGGACCCACAGAGTAGAGTGAAGCTAGTTGTCTAGATCTGTATGGACCAATCAATCTAGTGCCATAAAGGAGGAGGACTGATAGACAGACACGGATTATTTACATGATAATAAAAACTTTAGGTGAAGATAAAATTTCTCAGAGTATGCTGTATACTAAGAAAACGGCTAAGTTAAAACAGCAGACAGATGAGCCAGCAAAGGAAATGGAAAAGCCAGTGGTAGAAGGAAAACTAGACGCAATTACTGAGGGAAATTTTCAAAAATTTAGGAGATGGGATAGTTAATTGAAGAGCGATATCAGGTATATTAATGTTTTCTTCTTGTTATGAGTCATTTAATTGGTTCTGACTCACAGAGATCCCATATAGGGTTTCCAAGGAACAGCTCATGGGTTTGAATTGCTGACCCTGTGGTGAGCAGTCCAGTGCTGGGGATATTACAGTTACTCTAGCAAAATAATGCCAGTGCCTGTGTGGGTCAGAAGCCAGACCACAATGGACTAAGGGAAGGAATGAGAAGCAAATAAATGAAAACAGTGCGGAAAATAAAGAGAAGTAGTTAGTGGGGAACAAGTCAATAAGAGGGTTCTATAAGCCAAGAGAGGCTTATTTATTTGTTTGGGGGTGGGGAGGGGAAACCATGTGAGAAGGAAAGGAGGAATAGGAATGACACTGGAACATAGTCTTAGAAAACACATCACATTCTGCTGGATCCAGACATAACATGGTTGAAGAAGACAAGGGAACCCCTCTTTACAATAGAGAAGACAACTGAGATTGATGCTATCTATCACAGGTTAGCTGGGGCAGAAAGACTACATGTCATCTGGTGAGGGGTAGACTGTGGGCAGGACTTTGAGTGAAGTTCTGGACTAGCAGTTAGGAAAAGAAAGATGGAAATCAAACACCATAAGGTCAAAACTTAAGGTATGAAAAACAAGTTTTCTCCAGCACTGCTTAGGGTTTATTAGAGCAGGCAGAGTAAAATGCCAAGGGAATATACTAGAATACAAGAAACAGAGACTCTAGTAGTACACAACAGAGGACATATAAATGGGGCAATAAATGAGGTGAAAAGGGGGATGAAGAGACTGAAAGGCTAAATGAGTTAAAAGTATAGAGTAAGGAAAGGAGTAAGTGACTTCAAGAGATAGGATGATCCTGCTGGTAGAGAACAGAAGTAAGATTTTATTTAGAGATGCAGCTCCAGTGATGCGGCACTCATACTGCAGTAGAATGACACCATCAAGTAATTCGGAGCTGTTTTGTCCCCGACAAAATAATTATATTTTGTATAGTTTTTGTGCGATAAACAATTTGGGAGTACACCCCAATCACATGGAATTAGTGTTGGTACAAAAACTTTTTCAATTCCAAAAATGTTGGATACACTCACTCACTTGACATGGTTAGGTTCCAAAGATCACCATTTTCACATAATATAACAAAGTGACATTATGTGAAAATGGAGGATAAATAAATCATTACACTACAGTACATTACACTGCCCAGTCAAACTGATACATAAAACCGTTACAGCCAGCATTATTCTGGCCTTGCACCTTGGTGTTCATTTCTGCCAGTCATGCATTAGCAAATGCACAATAAGAGATTATTAAAACTACTGTTATAAATGTGAAATGTTGGGAAAGGAGGTAATTGAAAAAGTGAGGAGTAAGTGTACTGCTAAAATACAATGGTTAGATTTTGTGGTCATATTAATATGCAATTTCTTAAATAACTATAAATAAAACTTACAAGTATAAATTGTCATGCTGTTGTTAAGTGCCATCAAGTCGATTCCTACTCACAGCCACCCCTGTATAGGGTTTCCAAGGAGTGGCTGGTGAGTTTGTACCCCAGACCTTACGGTTCAAACTGACCTTGCAGTCAGTCCAGTTCATTATCCCACAGTGCCACATCAGGACTCCATAATTTGGCATAGCCTTTTAAAAGGGCAATTTGATAAATATGCCAAGATGTAAAATGAGCATTTCCTCTGATGTAGTAATTCTGCTCTTCAAATATTTAAATTACTCGAATGAATGCAACATAGATGGATAAATAAGCGTACAACAGCAGTTTGCAATAAGGGCAAGGCAGGCAACAACCTAAATGTTTATCAACAGGGAATCATTAAGTAAATCATGGTTATACCTACAAACTAAAATATTATGTAGCCACAGTGAAAACATTAAATCATTCAAAAAACAAAACTCTAAGATCAATTAAATGGCATAATACTGTGTACTATGCATGAAATTAAAAAAAAATTTTTTTTATAAGACATGTGTTTTCTTGAAAATACAAGAAATACATCTGTAAGGACACATTTTTAAAAATATAGCAGTAGCTGCTTCTGGAGAGACCTACTAACATAGGAAATAGATTCACTTTTCATTGCATACCAATTTAACTTTATTTTTAAGTAAGTTTAATAAGCTTAATAAAATCTAGAGATAGCAACTTATATATGGGCAGTACAGTTTTCAAAATACTTCCGGCATTTTTATTTGCTACAACCTTGCAAAGTAGGTACCATTATCCCTATTTATGCAGAAGAAAACCTGAAGATAAATAACAGGTTAGGTTCATTATACTGGTTAATGTCAGAACTGGAACTGACATCTAGTTCTGATTCCTGGGCCCACAATCTTTCTGACAGCACACTCCCCAGAAAACATGGCTACATGGTTAAGGGTCTCTTTCACTCAGGACGTCTGATATGTTCAGCGACCAAACTGTCTGTTCTAGATTTCCCTCTTTACTAATAATGTAGTCAGTCACTCAAACCAAAAAGCTGAGAATAATCCTCCTTTGTCCCTGTATCTCACTGACCACCAAATCCTGTTGATTCTGCTATTTAGTGTTACTCAAAAGTCCAACATTTTAATCACGTCCTCATTCTATTTCAGATTATACAAACAGCTTTTTAATTACACCTAGCAGGTTTCATCCCACTTATATCTGCCTGCCAATAATCTTTCTAATATATAAAGCTGATTAGATCTCCTCCTGGCTTAAATTCCTTTAAAATGGCCCCAGAGACTTCAGGGTAAAATTGAAAATTCAAACTCATTTATAGCACTTAACAAAAAGAGCGACAAGATCTCAGCCTCAATTCTCATTACTCTCTTTCACTTGTCCTTACGCCACTTGTTCTTGTTGTGAAGTGCTGCCGAGTCAGTTCCGACACATAGCAACCCTGTATATGGTTTCCGAGGAGAAACTGGTGAGCTTGAACTGCAGACCTTGCAGTACAAATGGCTTTGCAGTCTGGCACATTAACCCACAGCGCCACACGAGGACTCCAAGCCACTTGAATCACATAATACTGCCTGGCCATGTATCATTTGGTCAGCCCTTCCTACCCTTTCAGTCATACATCCTGGCATTCTTCTATTTAGAGCCAATCCTTCAGCCATAAAAAACTACTACTTGTGTTCCTAACAGGTTGTTTTCTCTTTGTTTTGGATGTGATGCCTTTTTCTGGCTTATGTCTTTTCCTTTGAATAACCACGAAGGAAATATCCTTCTATCAGTGCCCAGGGCAGCATTCCTACAGGACTCTGCTCACCTCCATCCACACTTAGCCCATTCACACTGTGGCTGTGCCTGTTTTCCTCTTTCAACATTGTTATATTTCTTGAAGACAGGCACTCTAGAAATCTCTTTATCTCATGACCTCGTATGCTGGTATCATCACTACTATTTTCCAAATGAAACAAAATAACTTAGAGATCAACTAACAAAAGAAAATTTGAAAATCAAACATTTGATTCCAGTGTATATTTAAAGAACATATAAGAAACCACACTGCTAATAAAATTATGCAAAATATGAACTAAGGAAGGTACATACATATATTGTGGGTATAGGGCAAAGAAAGAGGATCAGTTTGTTACAAGGAAAAAATGACTCATCATTTATTAATTTAAACACATTTTAAATTTACTTATTATCTTCTTGAATTCATTAATTAATCATATCTGCAACTATCTTGTCACTACTAATTACCAGTCCAATAGCTGTCTGAGGTTAAAAAGAATCAGTCTGATTTATGTGCTGAACTGTTCCTCCAACTGGCATTTGTAATTTATAACAAGTTATTTCTAAGGAGCTCGGGTAGTGTAGTGATTAGGGGTTGGGCTGCTAACCTCATGAGGTCAACGGTTCAAAACTACCAGATGTTTCGTGGGAGAAAGATGAGGCTTTATGCT